AAGGTCATAAAGGTTTTATCCTACGTTATCTTCTAACAGTTTTCCAGTTTTTACTTTCACATTAATCTATCTGGAATTGATTTTTGTGTATGGTTTGAGGTAGGGGTCTAATTATTTTTTTTATTTTTTTGCCCAAACAAACAACAAACTGTCCCAGTACCATTTACTGATAAAAAGTTCTCTTCTCCATTTACATGCAATGCCAGCTCTGGCCCAAATCAAATTCCCACATACAAAAGCCTGAATCTAAGACTGCTTTCAGTTCTAAAGTTCTACTCAACTGAAGGCACTAAAACATCTTGTGAAGATAAGTTGAAACAATTAGTTTTAACTTCAAGAATTTTTTTTAAAGAAGAGAACATGGCAAAAGAATCCTGACTTGGAAAATGTGATGAAAAAAAAAAAAAATACTGCAGAGGAATCAAAGAACCTGAGTTCTAATTCTCATTTAACAACTTGCTGACTATGTAGAATTAGACATTCTAAGTTGTCAAAAATAATAGTACCAAGCAAAGGGTAAAAACACTTACCTTTTTCCCATGTGTATAAGGTCACTTACTAAAAGTTCATAAAATTATACTAAACAATATTTAAAAGATAAATATAAACAAAGGTATAGTTTAAATAAAATGTTACCATCCCAAATTTTAGTTTTAAAAGTCTATAATCTAATGTGGAATTTTTGCTCTAACTTCTAATTTTGTATCTACCACAGTTTGGTGCTCAAAAGACACTTGTTGACTTATATCAACATAATCTAATTAAAGACCAAGCAAGGTAAAGAATGTTTTCTAAAAGGTGTCTTCTTTGTTTGAACATTGTTAAACACCCATACAGAAATCTGACCCACTTCATAAGGGATAAAGTTTAACCTGAAGAAAGAATTTTCCATTAATAAAATCACCTTAAAGTATATTTATATTATCGATACTCTTTTAAATAGTCACAGAAGTTCAAAATACACCTGAATACTTTTCATCCAAGTATAGACATGACTCCAATTAAGCATCTCTATTAAGCCAATTTGGAAAATACTCTAGGTACAGAAATCTATTCAAACAAGCCTATAACATTTAAGTGACTTTGGTTGCTAACCCATCCCCCAAAAGCCAACCATTACACAGTTATGGACTTTCTTATAGAATCTTATTTGTAATACCTACTCATGAACAAAATCATAATGTACACATGAACTGGTAGTCACCTTTCATTAAGATTCTAACTACATAAATATAGCACTGCCAAATGGGAAAAAAAAGTAGCTTAAACAGTTTAGATCTTTATCTCCCAATTATCTTCTGGCAATAAGAAAAACACATTCCGACATTAATTCCCTATTTTCATAACCTTAAAAATAAGCCCCTCCAATCAGCAGCTGGAAACACGTGAGAGAGAAAATGTTAAAATAAATCATTAATAACATATTTACCGGTTTGATTCGAAGCTGACTACCCACCACTTCAAGAATGGCATGTCTTCTGGACACTCTCTTATCTGTTATCTACAGGAGAAAAAAAATTAAAATTTCAAACACAGCCACCTGCCTAAGAAACAATAACAACAACAAACCCCACAGCAATGTTTCTGAAATCAGTAGGCTAGATATGAAATCTATTATTCATTCAACAACTGTATATTGAAATGACTGTCCTCACTGAACAAATAACAAAACAACTCAGAGATTAAGGGACCTGCCCAAAGTCACAGAAAAATAAACAGTGAAGCAGAGACTCAAGGTTGGAAACTAACAGATCCCAAAACCTTTCACGATGGTTTCCATTCAAGACAGACATTTGGTGGGGATTCTTATCAATAAAATTCATAAAATGAGAAAAAAATCTATATAATATGTACTTATCAGGAAGCATTCCAAATACAGATAAGATAAATTATGTTATAATGACAGAAGGTCTCAAAAAGCAGCAGTCTGGTAAATATAAAAGGTAAGACTACAAGCTTTGGTGTCGAGCAGACCCAGGTCAGGCAGACCTGCATTTGAGCTCAGGGCCATTAGCAGTAGTTAAGAGAACAGGAAGGTAGGAGAGGGAGCAGTGAAAAGCAAGTATTTACGGTGAGGAAAAAATTTTTAATTATATATTTGCTTCCTGTTTTGAGCCAACACTGTTCTACTTACTCTCACAATCACTTCTGCACACCGAAGTTTAAAAATTGAGGACTTCCCTGGTGGCGCAGTGGATAAGACTCCACGCTCCCAATGCAGGGGGCCTGGGTTCGATCCCTGGTCAGGGAACTAGATCCCATATACATGCCACAACTAAGAGTTCACATGCCACAACTAAGGAGCCCGCCTGCCGCAACTAAGACCTGGTGCAACCAAATAAATAAATAAATATTAAAAAAAATAATAATAATAAAATAAATTGCAACCTTCACTTCTGCACTTTCTATCTCCCCTCTCCACAATTAAAAAAAAAAAATCGCTTGCACTTTCAATGTTGAAATTCCCAATCAAGCCTTCCCTGCATGGCTATTAACAGAACAGTTAAGATTACCTTTGTAATTTGTGACTTTATGTAATGATAACATTTTAATCACCAATTTTACTCAGCACCATAATTATCCGGCCTACCTCTTCATTACCTTAGTATCTATCACTTCATCTCTGACCTTATCCACATCAGGACCAAACTTATCAGTAAAAGCAGACTGTAGCAAAGCCTAAATTCAAGTAAACCCATTGGTTCTACAAAAACTTGCAAAAATATGAAACTTGCAGGAATTTTTTTAGCCATTTTTTTAAGCTCATTTTTTTAGCCAACGACTAATTTCCACACTTAAGGCTGTGACTATATAAAAACAGTAACATCAAGCATCGCAATGGAATAAATTCCACATAGTGAATATTCCGCACAGCTACAGGTGATTTTTAGAACATTTTCTAAAATAAAGTATCTTAAAGGTAGCCTATTTAAAATATATCCACTATTAGCCACAATGGCTATTTCAGAAAATTAAATATAAACTAGTAGCCTATTCAATCAGAAAAGAGCGGATAGAAATTTGGAGGTTCCTATATTCTTCCCATAATGTGCCTTAGTGGGCCCAAAACAGCAGTTATCTAATAATCCACTTTACCATTTGCACAAATTTTATCATTTGCATAGAACTTTCACTTAAATATTGAGCTTCCCCCTAATACTATCATAGCTATTATTCACATTTTACATATTTGGAAGCTGAAAGTCCAGAGAATTTAAGTTGCTTGTGTAGGTCACTCTTCAAGCAGGTAGGACTCCAAATCCATACTTATTAACAAAAATAAATACCTGAGAAAAACAGTCATATATTACTCTATGCCTACACGTAATCATTCAGAAGTAGTTTCAAGAACTGCAAATTATTCTGTGGTGAGGAGTAAGAAGTTTCTATTTATAACTTGGAGAGTAATATCTCATTGTTAACTTCAATAATACAAATTGATTTTCTAACCAGCAGAGTAAGAAACTGTCCAATATAAAACCATGACATATAAGGATGGTTCCTGTAATAGTCCAGCTTGGGTTTCTTTCTTTTTCAAACCATATTTTTGCAGGAAGCTATAATATAAAAGTATAATGTGACCTCTAGTGGACACATGTTTCTACAACAATGTAATTTCATCACAAGCTGTGCCTTTCTATAGTACTCACAAAAGTGTTTTAAAGAGTCTGAAATTAACATCATTCAGGCATTTAGCTATACCTGTCCCTTTTAAATCACACCTCTAAATAATGAGTAAGTTACAAAATAATAATTTATGCTTTTTCAATGGAAAGTTTAGAGATTTAACAAATTATCATTAAAGCTTATTTGAATTTCAGGATGTGGATGGTGAGACGTGGGTAAGGTCACAAACAGATCCTAAAGATCTGATGACCTGCTTTATGTAACAGCAATCACTGCTCCTTGTGCAGAGTAAATAGTCATACATTCTTATTAACATACTAACTGTAATTGCAATTATTTATCAAGACCAAGGCACTGTTCTATATTTATCACATATATCTTTTTTCATCTTCACAAAACCTGTGGAAGATACTACTATCTTTATTTTTCAGGTGAGAAAAAGTGCAGAGAAGTTAAGCAACTACTTAAAGTTACACAGCCAATAAGCAGCAGGACCAGGATTTGTGATTCTAAAGACATCTTTGCTCTTGGTACTGTACTGCTTCCCTCATTATCATTATGTAAAATATCATTTTTAGATGATTTAACATCAGCTTGACTGTAAACTAAAACATACTAAAAAACTGGAAATAAGGAAGAATGGCTATTTATTAAGCAAATAGACATTCTAAGAAAACTCAAGCCCTAAATAAAGCTCCAAGAGGCCTTCAGGCTTTCACGTGGTCCTGTTTATTCTAAGATCACACCCAAGTCTAATGAGATGAGTTATCTGAATTCCCAGTTGTCTATTCACAGCAGATAATAAAGTGCATAGGGTTTAGCAGTCAGTGCATTAACAATGATGTTGGTCTGCAGGTGGAAAGAAAAAGGCTGTAGAAAAACAAAGAAACATAAAGACTCAAAGAAGTACACTGGCTAAAGACTCCTGGGAGTAGGACGAATGGCTTAACATCCTTCTCAAGGTACTAAAGGCTTATCTGAGTTAACTTACTGATTACCAAGAGTCATCAGGTTTAAACAAAAACTTCATTTGAAAGTCAGACATTTCGCATCTTAGAAAACCATAGAAGTAGTTAAAATAGAGGAATTCCAGTGTCCTACCAAATGATTGTAGCCACCGAACTTCTAATCACACCACACATCCTCCAAAAAATCAGAGATCAACAAATACAGCAAATAAAACCACCTATTTTCCACATCTAAAGCACAACTAGGAGACAGGTTACCACTAACTTTAATTTACATGTTAGAGGGGAAAAAATGTCAAACGCCGATGAAGCTTCAGGATCGATGCTGGAACAGAATTTAAGTGGCAATTCGGAGGAAGAGAGAAGACAGGGAGCGAGAACCACAAAAAAGTCACCCCTTGAGTGGGAAAGGCTGAAAATGCATCCCACATCCAAGAGTTCAGAGATCCGGCAAAATTGAAAATAATTTGGGCATCAATATGAATAATAACAATAATGGAATATAACACACTCAATACAAAATAATCCATGAGTTCATACTGAACTCAAGAAAGGGGATGGGGTCAGGACTGGGAGAAAAAGCCTTTCTTTATAAAAGAATGACAGCTAACATAGTAGAAATGATGGAATGAGGAAATCACAATTTTGTAACTACTAACATTAATTGACTCAGTAAAGTTATCAATGGATGTTAATTTTCAGGTGAAAGCTTGATGGGAAGCAGAATACTCCTGAAGTCTCAAAGCATCACTCACAGATTACTCACAAAAAGAAGAGCATCTTCTCTGGAGAAGTCTGATAGGCACCACCTTCCGCAAGTGATCACATTTATAACCACCAACAACAGGACAGAGAGAGAGGCCTGGGCCTCCTGACATGCTGCTCTGAGTTCATATCACCGATGGAATGTTCTTGCCCAAAGTGTTTAACCTGAATCTAATTATGTGGAAACAATCAGACAAATCAAAATTCTGGGCATTCTATGAAACAACTGGCCTGGACTGCTAAAAGCATTAATGCCATGAAAGACAGCTCTAGATTAAAGAAGATAATATATATTTGATTGGATCCTAAATTTTTTTAATGCTGAAAAGGGCATTATTTGAAAGCTGGGTAAAACTGAATATGGAATATTAAAATTTACTGGACAATTACAAATTTCTCGAGTATAATTTATATAACTTACATATATAATGTATATAGAAATGTCCTTGTTTTTAGGTGATACATGTTGGCATACTTACGGATGAAGTGCCATAACGCATGCAATGTACTTTCAAATGAGTTCAGGAGAAAGAGGAAAAAAAAATGTATATATATATATATTTATACATATGAGAGATAAAGAAAAAGTAAATGGGACAAAATGTTAACCATTAACTAACCTAAGTTAAGGATACATAGGTGTTAGCTGTACTAGTCTTTCAACTTTTCTGCAGGTCTGCAATCTTCCGAAATGAAAAGCTGAGGCAAAAATAGTTAAAATTTCAGAAATGTTGGTACATTTTTGGTTGGTACTAAAAGGGTTATCATCAGGTAATGGAAAATGTAGTGTACACGACTGCTAAATAACATGATAACTGAAGTGTGATTTAATTTACACCTGTTCCAGTGAAATTAATAACCCTCTATTTTCTACATGCTCTTTCTATTTTCTACATTTCTATATGCTGTTTTAAAATATTTCTTTGATTTAGACTAAGCACCACAAACTGGTAGCCAACACACCACAAATCACTCAGACAGTATCTTTTTTAATTTTTACTTTGAAGAGTGTATGTACCCTCCACCTCCCCAGAGTGCCCAGCACTCCCTATAATCTTCCACTTAGCCAGCTTCACTCTTTATTGCATACCTGGCCTCTGCAGACACGTGAATTTGTAACTCATGATTTAAACTACACCTA